GGGCGGGTGGGTGGAGGGGGAGAGAGTAACCAAAGAATTTATATGCATCTATGCACAACCCAAGGACACGGACAATGGTGGGGAGAGGGACTGGGGAGGGGGAAGGGACGGGGTGGAATGGGTCATTGGGGAGAAAAAGGGACATCTGTAATATTTTAAACAAAAATAAACAAAAAATAGAAAATAAAACAGTAAAAAAAAAAAAGTTTAAATTATCTACACTACAGCTGATATTTTACTTAACTTGAATGGCAATCAATAAAACAATTATTATTACTATAGTCGCTATTTAACACTGGTCTAAATAACAAACTGGAACTATTTTCTTAGGCTCAGACACAGCTTTTGATCTGCAGAGCTGCCCCGTATGGGGTTATACACGGCACCACTATTTCAGGTCTTAAAAGATTTAACTGACGTGCTTATTTGATTTGGTGTTTGCCAGCACGGTCTCCACACGCGTGCCTCTGGTGGGACCCCAAATCTGAATGTGTAACAGGCGCCCCCCGTGACCCGCTGCACGGGAGCCTGGCGTCACGCCCTGGCCGGCGGCACTCGCGCCTGCGGCGTCCCGGTCGCCAGAGCGGCCCCTGTCCATGGAAAGGCGCCTTCGCCCTTTTCCCATCGGCCAGGCCACGCCGCGCGACCCAGCAACCCCCTTCCCAGACGCGCCGAGGGGACAAAGCCACTGTCTCGGAGACACTCCGTGCTCACTGCCCACTGCACAGCAGCCAAGCCACGGCTACTAGAGAAAGCGTGTGGGACTGGGTGCACGCGTGGAATATCACTCAGCCTTGAAGAAGGGAATCCTGCCATCTGCAACGACAGGGATGACGCTGGAAGGCCTTACGCTGAGCGACGTCAGTCCGAGGTAGGGAGCGACAAACACTGCATGATATTACTTATCCGTAAAGTCTAAACAAATCCGACTTGTAGAAACAAAGTAGAATGGCTGCTGCCAGGAACTGGGGGTGGGGGTGTAGGGAGAGGTTGGTAAAGGGCACAAGCTTTCGGTTATAACATGGATAAGTTCTGGGGTCTAATGTACAGTGACTCTAGTTCATTATATTGCTCTGTGCACTCGAAATTTGCTGAGAGAGTAAATGTTAAGCATTATCACCAAAAAACAAAACAAAATGGTAACTCTGTGGGGTGACGGATGTGTTAACTGTAGGAATCATTTCCCAGTGCATACATATAGCAAATCACCACGCTGTGCGCTTTAAATATATTATAATTTTATTTGTCAATTTTATCTCAATAAAGCTGGATCACATGATCTCACTCATATGTGGAATCTAAAGAACAAAATAAGCTCATGAACAAAATAGATTCAGAGACATAGAAGCATGAAACAGACTGATGAATCTCAGAGGGAAGGGGCCGTGGGGGAGTGGGGGGGAGATTAACCAAAGAACTTACGTGCTTAGATGCACAACCCATGGGCAGACAATAGTGTGGAGGCGGGGTACAAGGGGTCAATCGGGAAAAAGATCTGTAATACTTTCATCAATAAAGATAAATTTTTTTAAAAAGGGCTGATGTCCACAATATAACAAAAACAACAAAGTGCTAGAAAGATCAGGGGTGGTAGTAAAAATAGTGCATTGCAGAAAAAAATGGTGTCTTCAGCTAAGAAGGAGGTCTGAGTAATGTGCACATTCAGCCAAAAAGTTGAACATGCACGGGGCTGTGTTTGCCATGGACTGGGGACTCCAAAGGGGCACAATGGAAGTATCTGGAAGGGAGGGAACAACACAGCTCAGGTGGGAGGAAGCGGCATAGAGCGACGTGCGAATTGTGACACAAAGGGAGATGGATGTGCAAAGGAACACAAGGAGCGGAACCAGATGAAACTGTAGAAAATAATTAGTATGACCAAACGACTGGAATGAAGAAATAGTAAAAAACGACTATTCCGAGCCTTTGATTCCTGGCATGGGTTGAAATATATTGTCTTTTTAAGTTCGCTTCTTACATTTAATTCTTATGGGGTTTTGTTTTAAATTCCTGACTCATTTTATCTCAGTACAATTACTGTTCTTTGACACAGTCTTCTTGAATTTTTAGATGATGTCTTCTGCACTAATTGCGTTGTCTGAAATCAAACTGGTTGAAAATAAGCATTTCCAACTATCAGTATATACTGTAAAAGCTCTTGTGAACCACAAGGGAGTTTACAAGTATTTTCTGGTTTTGAAAACCAATCTGTATATTTTCAAATTATTTGCTTTTATATCTTAAATCATTTTAGCTTGCAACAGCTACTTTATAGCTATGTTATTAATTTATTAAATTGTATACTTACATTATATCTCAAATGCTTTGATAAAACTACTTCATACAGAAACCATAAATAAATTGAAAAAAGCATCGTGTTTTATGAGGGAAAAAAAATAAAGCTAGAAAAAAATCATAGTTCAAATGCTTTGACATTTTCTTTTCAGATACAATTATGCTGTAGACTTGTTAATCACATTATAGGGTTCTCAGAGCAACCTGCCTCTGACACAGGCAGACCTTTCTTTCCCTGCCTATGTTAAAAACAAAAACAGTAACTCAACAAACATATCACAGGTAAAAGTATAAATTGTTTCCATCTTTCTGGGAGGCAATTTTGCGAAGTACCAATGGCTTTAAAATTCTGCCTGTACTTTGACCTACCACTTCTAATTCCCAGGGGAAAAAATCAAAGATAGCAGGCATTTATTTATAAGACTGTTTGCCACCACGCTGATTAGGACAGTGAAAATTAGCACCAATCTAAATGTCTGATAGGGGACTGAGTAAACACACTGATGACTCATGCATGCCATTTAATTACTGCCTGTAATGTCACTGAAATAAAGGAAGATGTTTATAACTGATTAGTTTTAAAAAGCAATGCTAATGCATTTTAATTTTTAAAAAGTATATCACATTTAAATGTTTAAAAGTATATATCTTAAAAATGTTAACTGCACTTATCTCTTAGTAGTGGGATAATGGAGGATTTATAATTTTCTGCTTTTCAAAATTTGCTTTAATTTTCTACAATTATCGTGTATGTGTACAAGAGAGAAAAAAATTACTGAAATACAAGTTGAGTAATAGCTTTAAAATATTTTCACTTTATTTTCTTATAGCTCATAACTCCAATGGTCCCCATTACTAGGCTGCTGATATATCTGTCTCAGATGGCCAAAATGTGGCAAATAGAAGGCCAAAAGATTTAAAAGGACACCCTGATTCCTAAATACCCCCAATCAGACCTAATGTGAAATGGCTGTGGATACTCAAACTCTGCCACAGAGCAGTCCTGGGCTGTCAGAATGAGCTTAGTGGGGAGCTGATGCTGGGTTAACGGCAATCCAAAGTGCGCTAAGTTCTCAACCAGTGTGAAACAGTCACTCCTCTTTCCCCTCCCCAAGAGTCACCAGGCTTCATTCTTTTTTAGTTTCATTCCAATCCTCCATTAAATCTGTGTCAAACTGTTAACCATCTTAAGCTTTCGTCTAAAACTTTCAATTAAGCCTTCTGTCTCTGACCCTGCATTCCCCTACTTTACAAAGATAGTAAAAAACAAAACAAAACTGACAATGTGAAAGCAAACAGATCAATATAATTAAAAATATTGAGGAGGTCAAGAAAATAAAAGCTTTCCTAAAATTTCATCAGCTTCTAAAAGACATTTCCAAGGAAAAAAAACATTAAAAAAAAAAAAGAGTTGGATTCAAAAGGACAGCTTTAACAATGACTAGGTAAGGAAGAAAAAAATCACTCTCTACTTCATACTGGCCTCTGAAAAAATTCCAGTTAGCTATCCAAGCATGAAAGAGCACTGTAGATCAGCTGTTCCCCTTTCCTCTTTAAAACCAAACTAAAACAAGATTCAGTCAACAGATCTTTGCTATCTGCTGTCTAAATAGAAGGTTGTCTCCAAATCATTAGCTAAAATTCACTCTTCCATTTAGTGGGGACATCTGGTACCTAATACAATTAATTACTTTTATCTCATTCAATTTATTTTAGATGTTTTGTGTAGAAATAAGAAATAATTTTTGCAATTAAGTTTAATTGGCATGCATCCCCCACCTGATGCCTAAAAAACTCCAAGAAGACAGGGTGGTGAAAAGTATAAAAGATGAAGTTGAAGCACCTGAAGTTCTATTCTCTTCTTTGTTTATATTACAGAGTAGCTCCTTTTAAAACAAACCCTTCTATAATTTCAAAAGGCAGTCACCAAGTTCTTCAACTAAATCAATACCCATTGATCAAAATTAAGATGGGGAAAAAGGGCTGAATTGAAATAAAATGTTTAACATCTATATCACTTTTGACTGTGTGTCTAAAAAAAATGAGAAGATGACCTTATAGTTCTTAATGTTGCTGCCCAAGTTTCTTCTTTCCCTCCTAAACATCTAAAAAGTTTCTCCTTTTAAAATGAGAAAACAGGTTTATAAGAGTTCAGCTCAGATTTCCCAGCAAAAGAAAAGTATTAGCTTTGGAAAGAAAGGGTTTCTGGGGGGTCTGGAGGTGTGCGACAGGTATACAAAGGAGAAATCTGAATACCTGGTTGTTGATGTTAACATTAATGTTGGGACGAGGGGACGGCAATGAACTGTTTTCCATCTCAAGGTGTTTCAGCTTCTCCGACACATCTTTTAATGCTGGAAAAAAACACAAAGGCAAAATAGCCCCTTAGTCTGCCATGCTGTCATAGTTGTGTGAGGGTTACCACCAGTTAAAGGTAAGAATCCAGATGGCCACAGAATAAATACATTTTCTTTCTGTAACCAGGTAACTCTCTATTCATGTGATTAATAGAAACATTGGCCTGTACCTACACCACTCCTAAAAGCCACTAGATATGGAATCCCAGTAGCACGTGCTGTAAGGAGGCTTACTAGTCAAAAGAAAAGGCAGAGCGCACCTGTGGCACGATCCTTTCTTCCATAACCACAGCCCAAGCTCCTCCTGCCAAACCTCAGTACTTTGCCAATTTCTTTCCTTGGCCCTAAATATACACAGCCTAAAACTTAACTTTGTGGAGCAAAATGATAAAGGACATACATTCATTCATTCACTGATTCAATATATTATATACTGGTAACATCAGGTGTGATGCAGGACAAGCAATTGATCTCCATTGTGTTGCATCTTAGCTGTAAAATACATTACAAATAAAGTCCTCTCACCACTGAAAAGATAATACATTAAACACAATTCAGCTTTAAATAAACTCTACTTACATTAACCACTCTAATAATCTTATACAAGGACTAACTGGTATGAGTTGGAATTTTTACATGGTCACTTGACATAAAAAGCCGTTGAATGCCTAATAACTTCTGTGCGGTCAGGCAGAAGAAGAGGGGAGAAAAAGCATGAAATCACTTCCTCCTGGTCAGAGGGACCATCTGAAAGTGCCCAGCAATGAACTCAGGGGCTCTCCCCCTTGGCTGAACATTAGAATCAGAAGTAGAGTTTTTAAGTAATACTGCTTCCCGGAGCTGACCTCAGAACAGTATCAGAATTTCTGGAGGTAGTTTTTTGGCACAGGTAGTTTTGAAAACTCTCCAGTTGATGAGAATCACTAATTCAACACTGATCTCAAAATCGTCCATACTCATTTGCTTACCTGCCATCTCCTGGTTTTCTTATGCTTCAAGTTATTTGATACTCAATTTTAGCAGGATGATGTTGAGCCCACAAATGCTTTAGCTTATGCTGATAAATTAACACTGTTGGGTTTTGGGGTTGTTTTTTCTTGTTGTTGTTGAAATAAAGATTCTTTCGCTACATCTGTTTGGCTGAGGAACATCCTGAGATTGTAGGATAAGCTATTCTTTTAAAAGTTACTGCTCAGCTATGTGAATCAGAATTTTCACTTTACAACCAAAAGAAAATAAAGAATAAATTGGATACCAAGATTCTAAGTTCTTAATTTTTAACAAAACACTCAATTTTCATTGACTCTGAGCAAATGATATAAATCTGAATTAATTCTTATTAATGAAACCCTCACCTATGCAAGAATTTCTTCTTTCACAACTTCAACAGCATTTAAGCTCCACTTGAATATCTTCTGTCATGAGGAGCTCACTTATTGTTAGGTATCTATTTCTGACATATGGCAGAAACATTTAAAAAATTCTTTCCTATACTGACTGCAAATCTGCTTCCCTATACTTTCAAATTGCTGGTCTAAGATTCGCCAATAAACTGTCATAAAATAAATTCTTTGCTATATCAGGCTTTCAAATATTTGAAGTTATTATATCTCATATGATCTTTTCTTTTCTAGGCATCTCTAGTTCATTCTACCATGTTCACCAAAACCAATAAAATTTCCTAGAAAGTATGTACAGAATAAACATTTGCTAATACAATACAATACTGCAGCACTGAAAGAAAACTTTTTCAATTCATATAATGTACATAAAATGAAATGTAAATAAAATCAATACTGCCATCTCCATAATGGAGACTCTTTTCATTCTAACCCTGGAAACACTCCATACTAAGCTAGTCCTGCTTCTGTTTGAATCTAAATTCTGATGGCCTTAGTTTCTTGTCTCACATTTTTCTAGTGACAGTGATCATTGCTAACAGAAGGTAAAGTCCAGGACAGGGCTGTAAAAACTGAAAACTAACCAAAAGAAAGGATGGCAAAGAAACAACAAGATAAACAGTAATGGAGATTAAGTAATGGAGATCAGTTAAGAAGATGAGGCTGAGAGTCCAGGGAGACCAAGGCAGATAGAGTTCACAGGGCAGAGTACCAGACAGGAGAAAGGAGCACTTTTCTTAATCCAACAACTAACTACTACCTTTAAAATAAAATTGGAACATTATTCTGAAACTACCAACATAATAAATCAAAGTTAATTTTTATTTCCCTGACCTCAGATTCATAAGCACGATTCAAACATGGTAGATGTCAACAAGAACATAAAACCTTGAATATATCAGAATATTTGTCTAACTATGTATCTGTGGTGGTTACTTAGAGAACAAAAGAACAAACTTTTAATGTCACTCACCAGTAGTACTTCTGCATGTTCTATTAACCAGAGCACCGTGTAACTTTTCATTAACACTTCCTATCTCTAAATTACTAAGTATTACTGCTGTATTCTATATTCTTGAGAGACAACAGCACACTCAAAGGCAATTTACCTATGTGATATTTACAGATGGTGTCTAATTTTGGTGATAGAAATCAAAACTGACTAGAGCCACATAAACAAGAACTGCTTTTAAATGAACATATATTACACTGAGATTCAATAAGGAGCTTTTGTTTAAAGAAAATTTATACTTTAATATCAAACCAAATTCACAGATATATAGAAATTTTCAATATGGAATTTACTGTTTCCTTTTAACCTTTTAAAAAGTTCCTGAATTATTTATTTCTGTGGGTCTGTGCAATAACAGTCCTCTTGAAAACAAAACACTTTCTAGGAACTAATGGAATGTCCAAACATATTTTCAATCCTATGCCCTAAAAATCTTTAAAAAAACTTTTGCTCTTAATTTTCACTCAAGAAACAAAGTGAAAAAACAAGTCTGAAAACTCATAAATACTTAAGGACTTATAAATGATACAAATGTTTAATGGTCTCAATTATGCAATTTTAAATATTTCAATGGGCCCTTAAGCCAAAAGAGGCAAGAAGGCATAACTCTTCTACATTAAATTTTAAAATTCAACTATTACATAAAATATCCTTGAAGGAACTAACTTAAATAGCTCGTTTCAAAGGGAGGTAAAATAAAAAGGTGCCACTGATGTTATACAGAACATTTACTTACTCCTGCCTTCAACTTCGGGTTCCTCTAATCCAGTCTGCCTGGGGGCTATGTTAATTTCACCTGGTGATTTAGATGTTTCCACAGTGTCAGGAGCCCCAATGACATCATCAGTGGTTGTTTCCAATAAGGTTGGGCTATCTAGCAAACCAATATTCAGAGGCAAGCTGTAAAGGTAATAGAAAACTTATTTAGACCAAGAAACTTATCATGAAAAGAATTTAAAATACTAACAAAAATCTTTATTGGAAAAAAATTCACACAAGAGTTCATATTCCAATTAATTTATTCATCTGTAAAAACATTTGGGGTGGACTTTTCTTCCAGCCAAGATGGAATAAATGGTACTGGATTTAACTTTCTATTTGAGATAACCTAAAGGGGTGAGGAGGGCTGTTTTCAAGGCATCAGACATCAGAAAACAAAGGGCAATCAATTATGAAATTTGGGAAACAAAGGAGGTGAACCCTACAATTGCCTTGAGAGAATTTCCATGCCATGGCTGATAGAGGGTGAAATGAGGCACAGCACAAAGGACTCTCTTAGTCTCTCCTCAATTAAGAAGATGAGGCTGAGAGTTCAGGGAGACCAAGGCAGCTAGAGTTCACGGGATAGAGTACTAGACAGGAGAGAGAAGCACTTCAAGGAGGGAATCCTGGAGATCTGCAGAAGGTCCTCCCCTCAAGTATTCAGCAGAGTACTGATCAAAAAATGTGTGTGAAACTCTCTGAGGCTAGGGGAAGAACCATCCAACCATCCAGAAGGATTTCCTCCCTCCCTTTGGTTGGGGAAAGTACTAGTGGCACTCACCCTGGGCCACAGAGCCTGTTTCCATACACTTTAAAAACACAAAATTCAAAAGGCATTGAGTATTCAGGAAGGTCTTGCCTCTGTGGTGGAAAATAATTAACTCAAACTGAGCATGGCAACAGGCTTACCTAGCACATCATAAAAGAAAGACCTAAAAGGATTAAACTGTTTCCAAGTAACTTAACTGTATCCCAAAACAAAGTTCAAAATTTAGAGGAATATAAAGTTGTCTAGCATCAGGCAGGAAAGTTAAATTTGTTACGCGAAGAACTTGGTAGAATGTCAGACATCCATTCAAAGATTACCAGGGATGCAAAGGCATCCTATACTAAAGAGAATAATCATCCAATAGAAACTGATGTTAGAATTAGCAGAGAAATACATTAAACAGTTATTATAACTGTATTCCACATGATCAAAAAAGTTGAGCAAAGACATGGAAGATATAAAAAAGATCCAAATCAAACTTCTAGAGATGAAAACTACAATATCTGAGATGTAAAATATATTAGATGGGATTGATTGCAGATAAGAAGTTAGATAAGATACTAAAGACACAGCAACAGAAACTATCCAAAATAAAACACACAGAGAAAAAAAAATCCTCCAAAATGAGAATACCATTTAGCTGTGGGACAACTTCAAGCAACCTACTGGAGTTCCAAAGAGGGGGTGGGACAGAACAAAGTTTGAAGAAATAACTGCTGAAGTTTTTCCAAATTTAATGAAAACTATAAGCCCCTAGACCCAAGAATCTCAACAAATCCTAAATACAAGAACATGAAGAAAACTACACCAAAGCATATCATAATCAAACTGCTTAAAACTAATGATAAAATCTTAAAAGCAGCCCAAAATATGTTATGTTCAAATAAATAATGACAGCTGATTTCTCATTGGAAACAATGCAAAGTATAGGACAGTGGAAGAACATCTTAAAAGCACTGAAGGAGCCTTAGCTGGTTTGGCTCAGTGGTTAGAGTGTTGGTCCACGTACTGAAGGGTCTCAGTTTCCATTCTAGTCAAGGGCACATATCTTGTTTGCAGGCTCGCTCCCCAGCCCCAGTCAGGGCGAGTATGGGAGGCAACCAATCAATCACTCTCTCTCTCTCTCTCAAAGTAATGAAAAAAATATTCTCAGGTGAGGATTTTTAAAAAAAAGCACTAAAAGAAAAACACACACCTATCAACCAAAATTTTGTAGCCAGCAGAAAATAAAGTTTTAAGAAGGAAAAAAAACCCTAGGTACATACCAAGAAGAAAAAAAAATACACCTGCACAAAAATGTGTACATAAATGTTCATAACAGCATTATTCATAATAGCGAAAAGTGAAAACAGCACAAAAACCAATCAACTGAGGAATGGATAAATAAAATGAGGTATGCCATAGAGTGAAATACTAATCAACAATAAATAGAGAGGAATACTGACATATGCTATGACATAGATGACCCTTGAAAACATGTTATGGGAAGAAATCTAGATGCAAAATACCATATATTGTATGAGTACATTTATATGAAATGTTCAGACGTGGCAAACCCATAAAGACAGAGAGTAGATTTGTGGTTGCCAAGGGCTGGGGAGGGGTCAGGGAGGAATGTAGATTAACTGCTGTAGTGTAAGGTCTAAAATTAAGATTCAATATTAAGTGCTGCTTGATATCCTTGAGCCTCACAGGGCCGCAAAGGCCTAACCACGAGTTTCCTTGGTCTCACCAGATATGCTCTCCCCCAATTCAATGGAAAATGTTCCCCATCTAGCTAGTTCTGCTAGCAACTGTACCACCTGCATTCTACCAGGTTCTTAACCTAACAAATTTCACTTCCCTGCCAGCCTGCAATATTATTCAAACAGGCTAGTCACATCCTTTGGTGGGAACCAGCGGTTAACTCATCCTCATGTTATTATAAAGCCTGTCTCTCACACCCCATTTGTTCACTTTGCTCCCTTAAGCAATACTCCTGGCCCTGTATGTTATGAGGTTTCCTCCTACCTTAAGCTATAAATATATGTGACCAATAAATTGCTGTCTATCTCATCAGTCCAATGTTGGGTGCCATGTGTTCAACCATCTTATAGTATTTAGGGTGGAGGATCTCTCCCCACCAAAAGGGTAAGTAGGGGGTAATCAGAACAACTGCTAATGGGTCTCCTTTAGGGGGAAACAAAAATATTCCAAAATAAAATTGTGATAAAGGCTGTGCAATCCTATGAATGTATTGTCCACTTTAAATGGGTGAATGATATGGTATGTGAATTATATCTTCAAGCAGTGAAAACAAAAGACAAAATAAAAACGTCATATATTTATACAAAATAATTCATAACCAAAAGACACGCACTAAAAAAATTGTTAAAAGACCTATAGGCAGAAGTAACATGAACAATNTTATACAAAATAATTCATAACCAAAAGACATGCACTAAAAAAATTGTTAAAAGACCTATAGGCAGAAGTAACATGAACAATGTATTATGGGGTTAAAACATATATAAAAGTAAAATTTCTGACAAGTGACAGTAAAGAAGGTGAGAGAGGAGAAATGGAAGTACACTACTATAGGTTCTCATACTATACATGAAATGGTATAATATCCCTTGAAAGTAGACTGTGATAAGATAAAGCTGTATATGCTAAAGCAACCATTAGAATAAAGTAAACAATGAATTATATCTAAGAAGTGAAGAAAGGACACTATAGAATTTTTTAGAACACTTGATTAATGAAAAAGAAGAGAGAAAGCAAGGAAGACAGGAACAAGAAAGATTTGGGACAAACAGAAAACAAATAGCAAAATGATAGACTCAAACTTAATTATATCAATAATCACAGTAAATGGAAATGGTCTAAACATACCAATTTATAAATACAAAGGCAGTCAGTTAAAATTTAAAATGAAGAACATTTCACCCCAAAGCAGCAGAATACATATTCTTCTCAAGTGCACATGGAACATTCTCAAAAATAGACCACATGTTAGGGCACAAGGCAAGTCTCTATAAATATAAGAAGATTGAAATCATATCAAGCATCTTCTCAGATCACAATGCCGTGAAGCTAGAAATCAACCACTATAAAAAAACTCAAAAAATATTCAAGCACACAGAGGCTAAATAGCGTGTTACTAAACAATGAATGGGTTACCAAGGAGATTAAGGAAGAAATCAAACACTTCATGGAAAGCAACGAAAATGAACAGACAACAACCCAAAACCTATGGGACACGGCGAAAGCAGTCCTGAGAGGAAAATTCATAGCATTACAGGCACATCTCAAGAAACAAGAAAAAGATCTAATGAACCATCTAACACAACAACTAAAAGAACTAGAACGAGAACAGCAAGAAAAGCCCCAAGGAAGCAGAAGGAAGGAAATAATAAAAATCAGAGCAGAAATTAATGACATAGAGACTAAAGAAACAATACAAAAAACCAATGAAACCAAGAGCTGGTTCTTTGAAAAGGTAAATAAGATTGATGCACCTTTAGCCAGACTCACTAAGAAACAAAGAGAGAGGACCCAAATAAATAAAATCAGAAATGAAAGAGGCAATATAACAACTGACCCAACAGAAATACAAAGCACTGTAAGAAAATATTATGAGCAACTATATACCAAAAAATTGGACAACATGGGGGAAATGGACAAATTCCTAGAAGCATACAACCTTCCAAAGCTGAATCAAGAAGAGGCAGAAAACCTGAATAGGCC